GGTAAATTCACAACTCAGGTGTATATGAACCGTATGTGACTAACACATGTTTGGCAAATGGAAGGAAACCCAATCAACTAGGCAACAGGACAAAATTTAATAAAACAACTTATAGCTTGCTGCCGGTGTATTTGGAAACAGTGTCAGCGACGACAGGACAACCGATTGAAAGGAAACAACTTCAAGGAGGAGAAGAGATGCAACCCAGAACAAAGATAGACAGCGCCCCCGGACCAAAAACCCACACTGAAAAGATTAATAAACTTTCAATTGCCATTATAAGTGGGAGCGGCCTCAGAGCAACACCTACAGCTTTACACTACTGGGCCCTCTGGGATCGGCGTTCCTGGCGTCCCTGCTTCCGGTTGCTGGCCTTGGGCGGTGTTTTGTTCTGTGACGAGTGTAGTGATGAACTTGTACGATGGTCGAAGGTCTAACTTTGGGGTCAAGCGAAACAAGGCTCAGCACTGGGGCAAAAAGCCTCCGGGCTAAGCGCCTCCCCGGAGGGACAGGAGTGCCCACTACTGGGGCGGTATTCAGACTGGGCCGTGGGGCAAACGGTCCTTTTAAGGGCTTTAATCAAGTCGTACAAACTACGAAAGTAGCATACAGAACTATAATCATCAACTGTACATTTGATAATAATGATGATGATCATCATCATCATCGTCGTCGTCGTCGTCGTCAATCCCTTAACTCAATAGGTAGTTGCGGAACCACATATAACTTTACAACCAATTCTCTCCATCTTTCCATGTTCTCTACTTCTCTTTCGAAATCTCCAAAGTCCACCCATGTCTTCTCCTTAATGTTGGATCCCACCTCTTCTTCTCTCGTCCCTTCTTCTACACCCTCCCTCTTTGCCTTGCAAGATTGTTTTTACCAGTCCTGATGTTGAGACATGACCGTACCACTTGAATTTGCGCTTCCTTAGATACCAAGAGGTTTTCATAGGGACTGATGGCTTGGTGGATCCTGTTGTGAACCTCTTTGTTGGTTACATGATTAATATAAGAGATGCCCAAGATCTTGCGGTAGAATCTCATTTGAAGTTTCTTTGTAGATCTGATTTGAGCCTCCATGTTTCACAAGCATACAGAAAAATGGATATGACAATCGAGCGCATCAGCCTTTTTTTTTGGAGCCAAGAGCAATGTTGGTATATTTCCATATTGGTCTCAATCTTGTTATTGTTGCTGTTATCGGAGCAATCCTCCAACGTAGTTTTGGTTTAAAGCCCTCATCTGTGATAATTAATCTCAAGTACTCGAAGCTTGTGACTGGTTTCCGGCTTTTGTCCACTGACCTTTATTTCTGCACTGATGTTAATCGTGTTGCATGTCATCAGTTTGGTTTGTCGGCTCTAATCTCGATACCGTATGCCTTGGAGGTTACTGTTAACAAATTTACACACACTATCCATTTCCACAACAGATCCCCATTAGATGGTGGCACAGTCTAGTCGTACAAAATACACTTTTATTCCCAGATGTGTGTGTGTGTGTGTTTATCGCAACATGACAGAAAACAGTCTCGTGTTTTTGAAAGCAAGAACCGCTCCTTTCAAATCGAAAGCAGAATGTGCTTTTGAGTGATATAGACTGCATTAAATGGAATTTACGAGTATTACTTGTTTTTCAGTTTTTTTGTCTTTTTCATTTCCTTTAGCAACACATTTGAACAGCAAAAATGAACAATTTCATTATAGTTTTAGAGGAGTCAGTTCAAATACCAATCGTATCTATATTCTAATTAATCTGAAATATCAATTCATTTCGACATAAGTATTCTGCCAGTCTAAATACTTACCTCATTTTAAAAACTTGATTCTATTATTATTATTATTATTATTATTATTATTATTATTATTATTATTATTATTATTATTATTATTATTGTTGTTGTTGTTGTTGTTATATTATTATTATTATTATTATTATTATTATTATTATTATTATTATTATTATTATTATTATTATTATTATTATATACCATTTAACTGTATGTATTTATATTTGGTACTTACATTTATATGAGCTTAACTCGATTCATGCATGAAACACACCACACGGAAACAAATACACGCATGGAATCAGTACACAATTAATAATATCCGGTTCAGTACCCACGAATGTAGTCCCAGTCTATTTTTAGATCACTTTTTCCTGTCAAAGTTTGGTGGTGATACTAGAGTCAGATTTTGGCATTCTTGGTAAGGATTTAAAGGCATTTGTTTATTCTTTAAAATGTGAGCTTATGGTGTGGTTGTCTGTGTGTATTTCGGCGACAGTGCACATTAAGTAATAAGGCCATGGTGATGATCCGGAAGTGAAATCTGTGTTCCGTTGCCTGGTGTTTTGTTTACAATTCAGCCTCTCAAAAAAATGCAAGTCAATCCTTGAAGAGAACTAAACCGTAAAGTCATGTGTGAAGGTATTTTAGATTAACATATGAATTGTATTGATTGTCCTCCAGTGGAAAGTTCAGTACTGAGAAACAAATGTAGAGACAATATAGTGAAATTAATTGTGTACTATGGCCACATGGACTTAGTGTTTGCTCAATCTAAGATTTAATAGACTGACCAGGCGACAGTTTCGTACCTCCTGCACGATCTAGCAGTTATGGATATCGAGGTCCAGAGTGGACGCATCGTTAAAGTCGCAAATGGAATAAGGCATACCTGGAAAGCTGAGTATTGGAGTCCCAGTCGGAATTTCTCCGTAAATTGCCGCGAAGCTCTCGACACATTCGCGTGATTCATGATGACATTTACGTATGTTCTGTGAAGAAAAGGAAAAGTGGTAAAATGCTGAACTCAACATATTTAATTATGGAATAACGTTTAATGCTTCTTTTTTTCCCTTTCCAGATTTAATTTTCTTTTAATTCGAAAAGCAATTTTCTTTTCATCCCGGTATGATGGGTAGGCCAGGAATCCGTAAACTGTTCAATATAGCATTGATTTATGGTTTATTTTGACCTTTGATAGATAGAAATCACCTTAATTGTCAACTTTTTAAGAAAATAGAAGCCAAACTAATCAATGTCAAATCTTTAGCACATAAGAAATCCCCCAATTAAAAATATTCAACGATTAAAAAGATGACCTATCCTTTCCTGAACCAAGAACAAAGAAATTGCTTACGATGCAAACTGACCACACAACCAAACATGTTCAGTGTCCCCCAAAAAATGTATCAACGATAATTTTGTTCTTCATGTTTAATATTGGGAACTAATATTGGTATATATTTGACAGAATGATTCAATATTCATATATGCTAAACTAGAACAGTTAATGTTCATATGTAGTGAAAATTGGTGTGTGTTTGTGTGTGAACGTCGTACAATGCTATATAATAGGCTTATAAACGTCTGCGAGGACATGTAAAGAAGTTAGAACTGCAAAAGTTGCATGATCATCATCATGATGACGAAGAGGCTTTCTATCAAAGGCTTGATCAGCACACAAGATTTTATATAGCGGCGGGACGGCAACAGTAGGTCAGACAGGTATTTGTTGCACGTGTGCGCTCCCAGTCCTTCATAACTACATTAATATAATTAATCATTATCTGATTATTTTATGGCGAACTTTTATAATAAAAATTTGTCGACACGTGCTTGGTATGCGCATGTAATAAACACGTTTTATCAGACGCTGTGAATTTAATGGTTTGTACAGTGGTTATGAAAACTGTAGCTGGCAGGAATTCTCACTTGTTAAATTAATAATATCATCTTCATAACCAAGGAAATAAACAAGTGTCCTGACGTATGTATGGCAATAATACTTGTCTCGTACCTGCAAAATTAAGCATTTGACACAGGTGACACGGGGAAAGAGCTGTTAACTCTGTCGACATATAAAATTTCACTGTGAAAGAATCTAGCTGCATGTATCGATTGTGAGAGGAAAAGTGCATATTTGAAAACTTGCATAATTATTTCTCTTCAGTAAGAAATTGATTGAGCTAATCTCTCTCTCTTTTCTTTCTCTCTCTCTCTCTCTCTCTCTCTCTCTCTCTCTCTCTCTCTCTCTCTCTCTCTCTCTCTCTCTCTCTCTCTCTCTCTCTCTCGTATGCGTATGTTACTTAGTGGTTTCTAAAGAGATTTTTTTAACAGGTGTCTTCGTTTCGACATTTAAGTTTCTTATGAATTCAATTCAAGCATTTCGTAAATACCCCGCTCCATTTGAAACATGGAAGAAAAATTTAATAATTATGTGTTTCGATTTCATCTTGTATCGTTTCTAATCTTTTTAAATGCCGGAAAAATCTACAAATTTTAATGTTATTTCATACCAACGGAAAAAGTCTACAAATTTTAATGTTATTTCATACCAATGGAAAAAGTCTACAAATTTTAATGTTATTTCATACCAACGGAAAAAGTCTACAAATTTTAATGTTATTTCATACCAACGGAAAAAGTCTACAAATTTTAATGTTATTTCATACCAACGGAGAAAGTCTACAAATTTTAATGTTATTTCATACCAGTGAAGTTACATGCAAAAATGTATTCACACTATCATAGTTATATATTCAAATGGTAGTGGTCACTGATGTAATGAGTGAGGTTAAATACGAATTTATTGAATTAACTCAGTAACTATATCACATTATTTCGTCAATTGTTTCATGTAGTTTTGGAAATTGACACGATAGTCTTGTTCTATTGATTGCCAATTCTTACTTTTAGTTTACATAAGGTGATCTAGGAACTTAAATTATTTATAATTAATAATAATGTAGAGTTCTGCTAAGCGAACACATAAACTTTAATTTAAAATTTATATTTGCAGACTGAGATAGTCTACAAAATGTTTGAAAAGAACAGATAGATAGAATAAATCACATTCTATAGCATCTGCAGTTCTGATTTTAATCATATGGCAAAATAAAATGTTGTGATGATCAAAACGGGCTCAAGGTCAAATGGCCAAAATACATTACATGAATTTAGCTCCGCTTTAAACACGTTAATGGCTATGTCGGGTCGAGCGGGTATTAAACCCGCGACCACTGGATTACAAGTCCGACTTTTTACCAAACGAGTTACCGCACTTACCCTGTATTTACTTGAGCATGGCAAGTGTGGTAATATATAATTGGATTATAAAGGATTTATCATTTCAGGGTACATAAAAAAGATTTCATAAATATAAATTGGCATTGACCTTTAACTTTAATATGTGCAATGTATAAATAGGTCAATAGTAGGTTAAATATTGAAGTTTATTACAGCCAGACCAAGGAATAAATGATGAGGACGTGTCCTTTTCAAACTAAAGTGGATATTCTAAAGCCCGATTTATGCTATTGTACTAGAAATAAGGAAGGTCAAAAATTCTCAGTGGTCGATATTGCTGCGCTCAACTCAGCTACGTAGAAATAAATTATTATATATTAGGCAATGCTGTTTCTTACCAATGCTGAACAACTCTATTTATTCCGTCAGCTGGCATTTCAACAAGGGTTAAAAATGAAAGATTTAAATGTACGAAAAGAACGAAAAGTAATAGTGCATTTTTAGCTATTTTTCTGTCATGCAAACAAGGGTCAAGAATGAATAATTTAAATATATTGAGAGAAATATATTAAATGCATTATCTTATTTGCATTTATGCCCTTTTAACAACTTTATAGACGAGTTTAAAACTGACCTGACAATTCTTTGAATGGCAAGTCTATAAAACTGATGTGTTCTTACAATATGAACTGAAATGGAAATTCAGTATTATCGCCTTGTTTTCATAATAGGAGCAAAAATGTTGAGTTAGAAATGCAAACGTTATCTTCATAATTCATTACAAATCGAAATATCTCGAGTCTTTCCCATGCTGCCTCAGTCAATATTGATATACATGTTGATTGTAATAAGAAATATTCAGAATTAAATAAAATTTAGTGTAAGGAGAAAATTAAAATTGCTAAATTCATTCCAACGGATTTGTCTTATCTATTGTCTTCATTCACGTTTCCCAAAGTGAATAGTACAGATCGACCCCACACCACCCTCCGGACACGATCCATCCCCACTCCCGCACCCCTGTACAAACCATTAATGGTATTACAGGGACAGTCTTAAGTATAACTTACTCAACGTCGTAGAAAGAATATACACTGAGGTCACTTGAAGGATTATGTCTGTAAGAAATAATTAACACAAGATTAAATGATATCAGAAAGTGTACTATTAGAGGAGATCGTATGTCCTGGTTGGAGCGTACAGTACACTATTGTCGGAGGCATCTCAATTTTGCGAATTATACATAAAGAATGAAATATAGCTTAGTCCCATTAACAGCACATTTTGAACTTTTCTAGTTATTTTCTCACCATGAATTCTGAATATAAACTGAATTTTATATCTGTTCTTCACAAGTACATTCTACAAAATACATTAGGTTTCATAATTATTATTTGTCTTACTTTTTTGCGGCGAATGATTTCATCTTTATTGCGTCTATCTGCTCGTATTTTGAATACAGATATCGAAGAAAGGCCTGACCTGTTCAACGTATATATCGTACAAGGGACTAATTTGGTGATTTTGTCCCTGAATATTATCGTGCGTACATACTAGGTCACCGTGCCCTAAATGTTTGCTTCTTGCAACAAGTGCGATATTCAGATCTGAATAAACAATCGACACTCACTCGTAAAATCAGCAATTAAGAAAACAGTATAGAATAAGCAAAGTTATTATAAAGAAAAAATAATTAAATTGCTAAATTACGTTGCAAGCAACTGCTCAATAAAAGGAACACAAAAGGAAAAATATGAAACAATTGACACTGAAAACTGTAAGTCATCAGATAAAACGCGACTGAGGAAACATACCACTAATGTACAACAGAAACAGTATGCCAATCATGGCATCAGAATCCATGCTGATATAGAAATTTGTACTCATTAGAAGGAGCAGCAATATCCCTAACATCTCCAGAAACCTGTGCTGAATACTGATACTTCACAAAACCATCAATAACTAAGTAGATACTTGGAATAAACATGCAGTATCTCATCAAAGAAAACGGAAACAAATCCACAGATCGATAAAAGACGATCCTTCCAGCCGCATAATGGCAAAATCTTTCCGTTCAGATTTGGATTGACAGTTTGGGAAGACAAGTGGCAAGTGGTTCCAGTGTTAACTGTACAGGCACCGTCAGATTTATCGACGTTGAATCATAGAATCGCCACCGACAAGACATTCCTTTGTTTTCGAAAGAGGATGACACCAATGCACAGACTAACGGATCTCACGCTCTTGACTTATTTGTTTTCGTATCTCTGGAAAGCTACGGGAAGTCTATCGTATACATAAAACCATAATAAGAAAAAGAAAAGAAAAATCCAACAAAAACTAAGCTTCAATATGTGCGTAGAAAATTCCCTTAAAAAGTATACGTAACCAACATGTCGCAGCCTGTCTTAATGCAGTAAACTCTACATGTGTATAGGTAATGTCCGTAAAAAGTATACGCAACTGACATGTCACAGCCTGTCATAATGCAGTACACTCTTACATGTTTAGAGGCAATACCCTTAAAAGTATACGTAACTAACATGTCGCAGCCTGTCGTAATGCAGTAAACTCTTACATGTTTAGAGGCAATACCCTTAAAAGTATACGTAACTGACATGTCGCAGCCTGTCGTAATGCAGAAAACTCTACCTGTGTATAGGTAATGTCCGTAAAAAGTATACGTGATTAACATGTCGCAGCCTGTCGTAATGCAGTATACTCTTACATGTTTACAGGCAATACCCTTAACAAGCATATGTATCTAACATGTCGCAGCCTATCTTAATGCAGTAATATCCATTTTGTTTGTAGATAATTTGCTTTAAAAGGAAAGATAACTAATCTGTTTCGGTTTGTGTCAATGCAGTAAGCTCTTTTATATTTGAAGGGAATTCCCTTAAAGATTAGCGTAACAAGTCTCAGCCTGTCTGTCTTCGTGCGTTAAGATTCTATATGTTTACATGCAATTCTCTTAAACAATTAACGTAGCTAATATTTCTTGGCCTATCTCAAAACTATAAGAATATGTGTTTTGTAGGCTATTCCTTTGAACATTAAAGTGTCTTTGATTTAAATATGCCTGCATATGGGGAGTGGTTACTTACTTGTTTATACAATAAAGTTGCAAGATTGAACAAACTGAGTCTTTCTCTCGTTGAAAACAAGATATAAAAAACATATCTCTTTTATTTTATCAGCACTATGAGCCAAGCGATAGTTTACTAGCCATGTTGAAGACGTATACTTTTATGTTCCCTGGAAATTTTGCAGAGTCTAAATGAAAAAGTAAGACTTGGAAAACATTGGTCCAACCGAAACGATTACAATTTTTGTTTAATGGAGTTGTATTGTTTGGCTTTGAACCAAATTCAGTAGACCCTTTGCCATGGTGACTACTCCGAAATGACAAGGAAGCATTAAATTTATTCGGTGAGAATATATTGGGCATTTGAATCCAGTGTGATTAAAATCGAATTGGGATAATATCTTTCCGATTTTAGCATCTGATTGTATGAAATTTGACATCAGTCACAGAATAAGAAACGACTTGTACATAGAATAAAAACCTGTTAATGACTAGTGCCAGACACTACACCGTATAATCAGCTTCAATAGTTGGTTGTCTGCATACGCATAGAGATCAGTGTGAAATACATTGAATTCTAACTGTTGCCTTATAACGGACGTTTCCAGTGTGGTCATAATTACAGAAATGTGGCTTTTACACTGAGATTATGAACATTTGTACACTCATTTGCTTCGTTCCATTTTTGTTGTCTTTAACAAATATGGTTACATTTATAAGCCCAATGTTAGATTCTCCTTTCAGTGTTTCTTTTTGAAAATTTTCTCGGCATGTTGTAAAGATAATGTTTGAAGTATGTTAGAGACGGCAAAATTGACCGTCTTTATCATCAGAAATAATATAACAGTATTTCTGTTAATAGCGACTTAAACGGCGTCGCCTAAAATGTCAAAAACAAAACAGACTTTTGAATAAGAAATAGCTGGTATGCTGTTCTTTGAATACGCTGGATTATGAATACAACACTACCCTTATTCCAGTGCAAAGAGTTAAATAGTTTTCATTTGAATACGTTTTTTCCATGTCAATCCACCTCATACAAAAGCAGCTCATCGTTTATTGTACGGGTTGTTTATTCGTAATTGAAATAACCTTGCGAGATTAGTTCCGCTTCATTTTTAATGATTTTCAAAAATGTTTCATTTTTAGTTATGACGACAAAGAGGGAATGGACTTTATTGGGCAATCAGTACATTCAGTACAAATACGGTATATCATTGCAAAAGCTCGCCACAAATATACTGTGTGCATTCGTTTCACTCCTGATGTTATGGGGCGGGTGGAGGGGCGGTAAATCAATTCTTACATCACAACCTTCGTAAGAGACAAATAAAACATTGGGTTACCAAAATAGACCAATTTGCATTTAAAGATTGCGTAGCTCTCGTGTAATAGACACATTTCTTAGCTCCGCACACTCTCATTCACATAAATATCTCATCTACCGTATTAAAGACAATATGTTTTAAAATGTTTCCTGTATTTTAGTACTGTATTATTCCTGTATTTAGAGCACTTGACATACACACGCACACACACATAACACACACTGTCCAACTGATAACTCTATGCATCAGATTGCTTGTGGCTTTAATACTATTCTATTAATGACACCTTTGTTCCCTATCTTTAAGAAAAAAATTTCTTCCTTCGAAATTAATGGCTGGATGAGATCATCGCCTGTTCTAAAGTATGTTCCTAGTAAATGTTTCTTACAATGTCCATACCGTCAGGGTCAATTATTCACCATCCCTCGTCCGCAACGCACTACGAATTAGTCGGATAAGTCCTGTATAAATAATCCAGAGAAAAGTTTCCTCAATAGAATTTTGGACAAATAATGTTATACTGGTTTTATTATTGATAATTTCATCGATATCTTTATAATGTGTGGACTTTGTTTTTAATAAAGTTCTAGAAACTAAACCTGACAACCCTCAACTTTTCCATTAG